AAGTTTTTTTTGCGGATTTGGGGAGATCGCGGCAAGCGCAGTCCAACCATGTTTTCAAAAAAAAAACAAAAAAAAAATGACCCACTTTTGGGCCCAACCGACCGGTTGCCGGCACAGCCCTGGTTCAGAGTTCCTTCGGCCAGACGGAAGGAAGCGTGAGGGTATTCATATCGTAATTTTGACTTGCCGGGTAGCTCAGTTGGTTGAGCACGTAAGTGGCACTCAGGAGGGCGTGAGTTCGATACCCAACATCGTCCTTTCCATCCCCGCGGCCTCCTGGGGGTATTCTTCTGTTTCAGCAGCAGAGACTGTTGGCTTGGGCCTCCTGGCTGGTTGTGGAAGTAAATGGTTCTTTCCGGCCCACACCCGGTGTTAGGAGCTTGGGTACTGCTCCCCCGCACAGAGCAGAAATAGGTAGGTGTATACCCTTAACCTTAGGATAGCTTAGCTCTGGCTAGTGAATCTAAGTTCCGTCCTTCCTTCAATAGATAGGTTTCTTCCTTCTGATGTCCTCGACCTCTCCTGGCCCTAGACCTTAGTTGGTATCGGGTTCCGAGTGGCTGCCTGTCTTAGGATAAAGTAATTTCCGGGCTTGTCAGGGTAATGGATGGTCCCTTGCTTGCCCAGGGTAGGTAGTGTGAGATACAAGAATGAGCGAAGATAATAGCATAGTAAAAATGCAGCTGTCCCCCATACGAGGAGAAGATAAGCCTGCATTAAAAAAAAAAAAACGGAAAACAAAAAGGAACCGGACTGATGCTTCCCAGAATGGACATGGAGCCAGGGCCATAAGGGCCTCTTTTTTTTTCTTTCAAAAAAAGCTCTCAGGGTAATCCCCAAGACTCGAGAAGGTCCATGGTCCCTTTTACTGAGGATCTGTATACTACGTGGCCTGAAATTTTGTCTTGTTTGTCATATTAAAAATTGTCTTGCTGCAGGTCATTGCCATCGATCACCTGGCCTGGCATGTTTGGGCTCCACCCAAATGCAGAAATTTCCTCCAATCTTGCAGAGACCAATGAGCTGCTAACTTCTCTGCTCGAAACCCAAGCAAAGGTGACACTTCCAGAGGGAACGACAATATCCCAAGCCGTCATGGACGTTTCCCGAGGCAAGCGACTCTCCCTCTCTCTCTCTCTATCCACCTATTTATCTATCTATCTATCTATCTATCTATCTATCTATCTATCTATCTATCTATCTATCTATCTGTGTCTCTGTGCCGCATACCGTGAAGGTGCAGACCAGAACAAGAACCGACCTCTCTCACAAAGTACAAGATAGCGTAGTGGAAGGCTTAAATACCAATGATCCGAACAATCAATGTTGAAATGCAGCCCAAACATACATCATCATTATTCCATGGTGTGAAGGGGCCTGGCGTTCACACAGGAAGAATGCGCCAGTCCCCAACCATACACAGACGAAGAAGAGGGGGTAGACGAAGAAGAAGGGAAGATGGGAATGTCGTCAACACCAAGTCTTCGGTACAGGTCCCAAATAGCCCCTCGTCAAATGTCTGAATCCCAATGTCGAGTCTGGTTCCAATGTCGTCAAGTCCCAAAGTCACCAATCTCTCTCTCTCTCGTAGTCTGCAGGTACTGAGAAGTTAGGAATCGAGAGGGTGAGGGAGAGATGGTGGACTTACAAGAGGAAGAAGAAGAACTCTCTCTCTCTCTCTCTCTCTCAGTCTGGTACTAACCTGTGAAGGTGGCGCCTTGTTGCAGGTACCTCAAAGACGAAGCTGGAGCTATGGCGGCTATGTCGCCACAGGTAAGTGTCCCTGGCCTCCGCCAACCATCTCCCTCTCTCCAACGCTACTCTAGCTCCTAATAGCACCCACCGCTGAAGACTACTGCTAACGCTACTACTACTACTGCAGCGCTTCTCCAGAGTGCTGCTGCCAAATCCTGAAGACTGCCTCCTGCCTCCTGCACGTGAAGTGCCTGGGAAGTTCTATGAACTACCTCGTGACTGTCTCCGACTGCCTGCAGCCTGCAGGGGGGGGCAGTCTTATATAGTGCTGGCCCGTCCAGGAAGCTGCTCTTGCCAATGCCAAAACGTTCCAGACCCTGGTGTTGAAGTTCAAACAAAGGTTGTCTTGAAAACAGGCCAAAAATGGCCTGTGCTAAAAACCCTGGTCTGGTGCCTAAGTTTCAGGGCACGTCGATCTTATGAGGGCCTGAAAATGGCCCTCCGTTTCAGGCTGAAAAGACTCAGGGCCTGGAAGGCCCTGTTTTAGGCTGAAACGACATAGGGCCTGAAGGCCCTCGTTTTCAGGCTTTCAGGCTGAAATGACACAGGGCCTGTAAGCCCTTGTTTTCAGGCTTTTAGGCTGAAAACGCTGGTCGGGCCCTGCAGGCCCGTGTGGCTGCACACTATGCCACACCCCCCCCTCCTTGAAAGACCGAGCTTACCAGCGAGGGCGAAGCTGTCTGTCTGAGGGAGGGACCACAGTCCGGGTGGGAGGGGCAGGTTGTGAAGGTCCCTGAGCTAACCTTTGTCGCTTGTAGTGAGCGTAGATGAACGGTGCGGATGCTTTTAGATCTGCTCCAGAAATCCAGCGAGTGTCGTCGGGATCTCACGCTTTGAATGTAACTTTGTATTGTCGAGGCTTGCTGCGTTGCGATCCGTGATGACGCGGTCAACTTCCTGATGACCATCCATAGATGGAGGATCTTGCGATCGTCGGCCCGAGAAGTCGTCGCTCTTAGCTGGTGTATATGTCGCCAGCTTCGAGGCGTGAAAGATTGGATGAACCTTCAGATGCGGGGGGATGTTGATCACAAATGAGGGCCCATCGGGCTCATCGCCCACGACCGATGTTACGGGCCATGGTCCAAATCACTTGCGGAGTAGTTTGCGTGAAACATCCTGCTCGAGTGCAAACTCTTCTGCGAAGACCCAAACCAGGTCACTAGCGCGGATGGGACATGGCACGCGACGCCTGTTGGCTTGCTGCTGCATGCGGACTTGAGCCTTTTGCATGTTCGCGCGGGCTTGAGCCAACAATTCCCTGTACTTCCGAACAGAAGCGGGGGAGCAAGCAACGTCTATGTCGGCTGTTCGCGGGAGGAGAAGATCAGCGAAGATACGGCCTTTCCGGCCACCGTGGTGCAACTCGAATGGAGTCACGCCGATCGCCGGATGCAACGAAGTGTTGTAGGCGAACTCGATGTCGGGGAGGCGGTCAACCCAATCTTTCTTATTCGGGCAGATGAGCGTATGAAGCATCATTTGAGCGGTTTGATGTCCCCGCTCCGTTTGCCCGTCCATTTGTGGATGCCGAGTTGAACTTGGTTTCATCTTCGTGCCGGATTTCTGCATGAGAAAAGTCCAAAATGCCGACATGAAGCGAGTGTCGCGGTCACTGACGATGTCTTCCGGTACGCCGTGGCTGCAAATCCAGCCGGTGTGCAAGAGGCGCACAAGTTCGGGAGTCGTGGCGTAGTACTTGCAAGGGAGAAACCGCGCATACTTACTCAAACGGTCAACGACCGAGAGGATGCCGTAGTGCCCGAGGCGGTCGCGGGGAAACGGTCCGGTGACATCCCTAGCAATGGAGAGGCCAGGTTCCCGTGGGATAGGCATCGGGCGCAACTCACCGTAGGGATTGCGGTTGTGGGGCTTGCTTCGTCGGCAAACTTCGCAAGAGTCGCAATACCGAGTGACATCGGTAATGAGGTCGGGCCATCGGAATGGTTGCCAAAGTCGTGCAATAGTGCGATTGATTCCGAAATGGCCGGCGAGTCGCGAGTCATGGTACTCGCCGAGAAGGCGAGTCCGAAGACGACGGTCTCGTGGGTACCCGTCGACGATGCGATAGTGGCTGGTCGGCGGGTGATCCGAAGATAGCTGCACATACAATGTGGCGAAATCCGGATCGGACTCATCGCCCCAGATGAAGTGTCGCTAGAGTTCCTCGTCGAACGCGAAGGCAAGATGTGTCATAGCGCAAAGATCGGGTCTTCGTGAGAGTGCATCTGCTGCGCGATTGGAGAGGCCGGCGAGATATTTCGGTGTGAAGTCAAATTGGTCGATGAAGTACATTCGTTCGATCGTGCTGCTCACCGTATCCTGCGTCTTGTAGTAGGTCAATGGGTAGTTGTTTGTGACCCATGTGAACCTACGACGCCCAAGGAGGAAGTGCCGCCATCGCTTGAGAGTCGTCACGAACGCGAGCAGCTCCTTCTTCCTTGCATCATCAAGTGAATTGCTGGGAGGCACTTTGTGGCTGAAATACTCCACGGGGTGCCAGTCGTCGCCGTCATGTTGTTCCAAGACTGCCCCAATGCCATAGCCAGACGCGTCATTTGTCACTCTCGTTGGCAGGGTGGGGTCATAGATGCTAAGGACGTGTGCCATGAGCATGGTCGTCTTGAGTGTTTGGAATGACCGGCGTGCGTCGTCATCGAATACGAATGGCACCTTTGGCGATTGTAATCTCGTCATAGGTGCGGCAATCCTTGAGTACCCGGTGATGAACAGTTGATAGCAGCCCGCCAACCCCATGAATGCGTGAACATCCGTGGTGTTGGTGGGCTCAAGCCATACGCGGATGACCTCGATCTTATCCGCAAGCAGACGGATGCCTTGCGGCGTCACATAATGTCCCAAATACTCCAGCTCTTGCCGAGCGAGTTCGCATTTGTCGTGGTTGGCTTTGTACTTGGCTTGTCGTACCGCTCCAAAACGGTGCGCAGGTGCTCCACATGCTCGTCCAAACTCCGGTACACCAAGATGTTGTCGAGGTAGATGAGTACGAATCTATCCAGCATGTGTGGGAACTCCATTGTCATAGCCGCTTGGAATGTGGCCGGGGCATTCGTAAGGCCAAAAGGCATAACCAGCCATTCGAAGTGCCCATATCGCGTCTTAAACGCGATCTTGTAGCGGTCCGCCTGCCGGATCTCGAGTTTGTGATATCTCGATTTGAGGTCAAGCTTGGAGAAGAACTTGGCGCCGCCCAGCCGTTCGAGGAGATCGTCAATGCGTGGAAGAGGGCCGGCGTTCTTGACGGTTTGCGCACTGAACTTGCGATAATCGATGCACAACCGCAAATCCTTGTTCTTCTTCGGAACGAAGAGAATGGGAGCACCGTATGGCGAAGAGCTAGGCCGAATCCAGCCTTTCTCGAGAAGGTCGTCGAGTTGTGCCCGTAGCACACTTAACTCTTCCTCGCTCATGCGGTAGATGCAACCACGTGGAGGTACGGCCCCGGCCTCGATGATGATCTCATGGCGGATGGGCCGATCCTTTCGGGGCTTCGAACACATCACCGTAGGCGTCGAGAAGCTCGGTGATGCGTGGGTCCGGTGATGAGTCCGTCGATGGAATGTCATGGGGCGGGAGGGCGTGGAAAAAACACACCCCCATCTGCTCGATGTCATCCCTGATGATGGAAGCTTGAATGCTTGCGGCGGACACCACATGGCAGCTGATCGAAGGGTGAGGAGGAGGCACCGTGCATGGGACTAGTACTCCGTTCCGATTACGAACGTGAACGGTGCGACGGTAGACATGCCCAATATCATGTCGAACTTGGTGTCCAAAATATCGAAGGACACGGCCTCGCTTGCATGCGGGGCAACTATACGGGGACGACATAAATGCACCGGTCGATTGACTTGTGTGTGTGACTGGCGGCCAACGTGACTTGCGTGGGCTGCGGCTTCCTCCGAATGCGTGGCCCAAGGCCAGCGCGTACCATAAAGTCTTGGCTCATGTAGTTGCGAGTAGCTCCGCAATCGATCAAAGCGCTGCTGGTCGCCTCACCGATCTGAATGCGTATGTATAACAATGGTGCGTCGATGTCATCGTACTGTTGTGTCTTAAACTCGCGATCGATCTTCGCAACGTAGTCGTGAAGGTCGACAACCTCTACTCCGGCATCCATCAACGGAGTTGGTACTGCAGTGTGCAAGTAATCCCACAATTGCCCCATGAGCACGTTGCAATGCGGTTTCGGCAATCGACCGGACGGGGGAAGGGGCATCCATTGGAAGTCCACAAATGTCAACGGGTCGAGCTCTTCAAGTCTTGTCCATGACGTCGAATCCCCGACGAAAGATGGCGGTGAAGCTGCCGAATCGGTTGCCGATGGTGGTGAGACCGTGCATGCGGTCGATTGTTGCACGTGGAGTGGTTGGTCCAACGGTGGGACCAAGTGGACAGCATAATCCTCGTAAGTGAACTGAGGACTCGCGACATTCCCATCCTCCCCAGATGTGTAGAAGTCCGCTAGCAAGGCGGCCGAATCTGGCAGAGTGAGAGGTGGAGTTGCCTCACCTCCCGCGCAACTCATTTTCCCGAGTTGATGCGAGGCCGAACATCATCCTTCCCTTGATCCGGGCATAGGGAGGTCTTGTGCTTGGTGCTGTTGCACCAATAGCAGCAGCCATACGGGCCGCGCCACTTGTATTCGGCCTCGGTCAAGTGAAACTTGACCCATGGTGCTGGTTGTCCGGTCAAGTGAAACTTGACCCATGGTGCTGGTTGTCCGTTTCCGGCCGGCGATGCGGTTTTCGCCTTCCCTTTTCCTCTGGAGTTGTTGTTGCTTTACGGCTGGACAGCGGCCACCTGATCTCCCTCACGTGATGCTTGGGTGGCTGCCGGGTCTTCCACAATGTTGTCCGGTTGGACTGCAGCGACATGCTGCGGACGCGGACCAAATTTTCCTTTCTCCACATAGGTTGGCTGCCACGCTGACTTCTCGTGTGCAGCCACCCTGTTGGTCTTGATGATCTCCCTTGCCTTGTCGATGATTTCGGCAAACGTCGTGTATTGCTCGCGATCACCGAGTGCGAGGCTGAAGGCCGCACATGACCGGTTGTAGAACTCTCGACGTAGATGCGAAAATGGCAACTCGAGATCGGGCGTTGCCACGATCTTTTGCCCTTTCGTGAGCCAGTCACGCATTGGTGTGTTGCCTTGAGTCATGCTGAAGAGGCGGTTGATGGTGAGCGTTGGGGCGTCGTCCACGATGAACCGCTTCTTCCATAGCTTCGTCAACTCGTCCCAAGAGATCTTCTTATGTAGATCGGCGACTTGGACGTCGTGGATGGTTGCCAGGTGGCTGAGCCAGATCTGGCATCCGCCTTTTGAGTCGAGGAACAGTGCGCCGATGTACGAGTGCTCGGGGACAAAAAGAATCCGAAGTTCCGACCGGGTCTTGATGCGTATAATCATCGGACTTTTCGATGCGGAATGTCGACATCCTGTAGTGCTGCGCGCTGGTGTTGCCATCCTTGTTGGGCAGCTGGTGCAGTTGCTGAACCTCGGTCTTCAAGGTGTCCAACTGCTTGCTGATGGTGGCTGGTGCAGCGAAGGTGCTGATGTCGACTACGTGGTCAACTCGTTCCTCCAATTGGCGGGTAGAGGGTGCACTGCTGGACTCGCCAACATCTGGTCTTGGTGCAACTTGCTCCAAGTTCTGTACACGGGAATCAAGTGCCCGTGTAACATCCTCCTGCAGATCCTTGTGGTTCCGCACCGTCCGTCGGAGATTCGCAAGCTCGGACTGCAGGTGGTTACAAGTGTAAACCAACCGGGTCATGAGTTTGGCAATAAACTCCTGGTGTTGCTCTTCCGGTGTCGCGTCTTCGAGGTGCTCGGATGGTTCAAAATGCCAGAACTTGAGCTTTTCGATGTTGGCAGCTTCGTGCCGCTGTAGCAGATCCTGGGCCTCCTTGCGGCGTGCCTGGGTATCTGCGTCTGCTTCGGCCTGAAGTCGCTGCTTTTCTGCTGCTGCCGCCGCTTCAGCCTGTAGGCGGGCAGCCTCGGCTGCTGCCTGACGTTGTTCCTCAGCCTCGATCAGTGCGAGCTGAGCCTGGAACCGCTGTCGGTACTCGGCAATGGACTCATTGGCCAGTTGGCCTAGCATGCCCAGAATTGAGACCGTCATGGTGGCGGGGTACTGCTGACGTGGCACTGTTGCTGACGTGGTACTGCTGACGTGGCACTGCTAACATGGCACTGTTGCTGACGTGGTACTGCTGACGTGGCACTGTTGCTGACGTGGCACTGCTGACATGGCACTGCTGACGTGGCACTGTTGCTGACCTGGCACTGTTGATGTGGCACTGCTGACGTGGCTGAAACAATTTTCACCTTTGGCAGTAGCCGATGCAGATCCCAGGGGTCGATCCCTTGACCTCAGCTTACCTGTGTACAGTATTTGCACAGTTCCCTGGAGTTGAACCCGTGACCTGCACGATAGCCAGTGGTAAGTAGGTCGCCGTAGGTTGTAGGCTGTAGGGAGATTCGAACTGTAGACCTGTAAGGTAGGAGTCCAACTAGAGTCCAGAGGCCTAGCTGTAGTCCTTCTAGAAGGTCGGCAAGTGGTCAAGTGGTGAGTCTAAGGTAGGCCCACRTTTTCAGACGAAGACAAGTGGCAAGGTCAACAGGTAGGACCTCAGTGCAACTGCACTGAGTCGACGGTACGACTGCCTACAGTCAGCAGAAGGGTCTAGAGAGTCCCAGTCCAGTCCAGCAAGTACCACAAGGGGGACTGTGAGCACCAAGGGCCGATGGCAAAGGGCAGACCAACGARTTTCTGAAGTATAAATCAAGAGGCAGCGCCCAGCCATTCATTCATTCCTGCGTGAGCCATGCGGAAGCGCTGCCACAGCGACTTGTGCAAGGAGGTCTGCAGATGAGCCCGGAGGACGCAGTGGGTTAGAGAGAGGGAGTTAGGGTAGATGCAGCGACAGCTGCCATAGCTGTAGTTAGTAGTGAGTGTGTGTGTGTGTTCGAGTGTTAGAGTGATGCGTGTGGGATATCCAGGGTGATCCAGTGTATGTGAACAGTGAGATGTTTGGGCGCTGAAGTCGCCATAGCCAATTGAGAGTGAACTCGTATCTGAAAGCCATATATATGAGTTTTGAGTGGGCGCATGTCGCCAGTATGCTGCGTTGCTGTTTACATGCATGAAAAGTGTGTTTGAGAACGAGTCTGATTGCATTGGTATCGGAGCTGGTACCCGCTATTGCATGCCCGCCGTCGTAAGCAGGGCCTGATGCGCCATAGCCGAGGTGGCAGCCGAGGGAGATAGTCCGCCATAGCGGACCTGAGGTTGAAGAAGCCGCCGCGCAAGACACGACGAAGAAGAAGAGGGAGACACACAGAGAGAGAGAGAGAGAGAGAGAGAGAGAGAGGGAGAGAGAGAGAGAGAGAGAGAGAGAGAGAGAAAGAGATGAGAGATACAAGGTCGGGTTACACGTACCTGCTGCGCTGAAGATACCGCTACGGCGAGAGGGAGAGAGAGAGAGAGAGATGAGCGATACAAGATTGGCTGTTACGTACCTGTGAAGTTGCCGYGCAGTCCACGRMGAAGAAAGACAGCGGCCATAGCCGCAGAGCCGGTACCACGGAGTTACGAAGTAGGAGGGAGAAGGACAGGGGGAGAGACTGAGAAGGGAGAGGAAGCGGCCATAGCTAAGAGGTGAAGAGGAGGCCGACAAAAAAAAAAAGAAGAAGACAGCGGGAGAGAGGAGGCGAGGGAGGTAAGGAAGAAGAAGGGGATTGGCGAGGAAGAAGTGCCG